ATTATGGAGGGAGGGAGCCCTCAGATAAGGAGGGTCCCCTGCAGACAGCTACACTGTGCACGGAGGCTCCAGCACAAGTCGGGGGGCAGGCAGGAAGGAATGTTCCTGGCCGATTTTGTCATTAATTTCACCCCGGGACAGCAAAGAGCTTCCATCCGGAGGACGAGCACAGGTGACGTGGGGACATGTGCCCCCCCGGCAGCCTCTGTTGATGAGGGGCTGAGGTGCTTTCAATTCCCCCCTACGGCCGTGCTGGCTGCCGAGGTAATCGAATTGCCTGAGATAATTAAATTACCTCTTTAGCCTGCTTTTGTACAACAAATACACGGAGAATGGGCACACGCTGTGAGCCAGCGAGTGCTGGGTCCGGCCGCTGGGCACCTTCCCCGCTGCAAACTGCGCAGAGACCCTTAGTGCCCGTCCCTGCTCTTGAAGGAGACATCAGAAGCAGCATGGAGAGCATTTCAGGGTGTTGACTCTTTCCTGGAGATCTCTCGGGAGCTCAGGAGCTGCTGGTTCCTGCAAAACCTTCTGCTCCTCTCCCATTCGCCTTGGAAAAGTCCCTTTGCTGGAGGGCATCTCTGGTACTGCCAGAGGGAGACGGACAAATCCCAGGAAAAAGCGGTGGAGCAACTGAAATGTCTTGGCCAAGTCTTCACGCAGTGATTTAATGACGCTGAGCTCAGTTTTTGCACAGAGTGAGATTTTAGTGGTGCCTTTCGCARGGATGAAGAGAGAACAAGCAAAAACGCTTCTCAATCAGGAGGGCTTCATTAACCACGAGTAGCATGACAGACCCGCAAGACATTTCTGTTGCCACCATGAAGTAATAGAGAAACATTTCTGCAGAATGTAGTCTGTTATCTGCAGAATATAAGGGTTTTTCCCCCTTACAACAGACTAATTTGCAGCCCTCAGCGCAGACCCCTTTGTCCAGACCATCCCGTGCGCCCAGCACGGACAGGGCTACCTCCCTCCTCCAGCATCACGGCATCGCATCACCCTTTCATTTCTCTTATCAGTGCCACCAGTCAGTCCCGCTTCTTATTCCCAGCCGTTATCACGAGCAGCCAAGAAAGCGCAGAGCTTGAGCCAGAAAAAAAAGAGAACAGGTTAAATTCTGATGTTGTCAGCTAAAATAGGCTCCAGACGAGTTCTGCCCATGATTTAGTTGCCAAATTTTGTGTTTTCTCCCTCTCCTCCATCTCTTCCCCCAGCTTTGCCAATGGGAACCTTGACAATGCAGAGTGTTAATAGAATTAGTCTCCTGCTATAAACTGTTTGCTCGGGCTTGTTAGCTCAATTGTCGGTGCTAAATTCTTATCAGAGGCACCTAAAAGAACATGCATCAAAAGAGGCTGAACTCCCCGCCTGGGTCACAGAAATTTAATTAAAGCCCAAGCAAAAACGGAAAATCATTTTGAAGAGAGACGAGACAMATGCAAAATGGTTTGCATCTTTTTAGTTCGAATCCTTACTCATGGTTTCAAAGAGAGTTTGGCCAGAGCTAAAGCTGAGCAAAACACGGACATCCCTCAGTGCCTCCTTTAACACCCGCTCCCGATGCTCCTCTCCTGTAAATGGGAGCAGTTTAATTGACCCAGATGGAGCAATGCTGATTAAAGCCCGCTAAGCACTGGGACCTACAAATGGGAAGGGGCAGAACGCCCTTCCAAGAGAAATTATAATCTTCACAAGTAAAACTGTGCTATGGTTACTGGTTTATGGATTTGTATCTACTTTCTGCTTGCTGTGCAAGAAAGGTTTCCAAATCTAGAAGGCCAAACACTGGTTTATGGTAGACAAGAAGGAATATTAGCCACAGCATGCAAGGCACCACGAAGACCTTGCGTGGGATATTCCGTGTCATCCTGGGCCCTCCCTTCGATAAAGCAAAAGATAAATTTACACTTGACAGGTGCAGAAAAGGCCTGGCAGGGTGATTAGCAGAACAGAGGACCTATCTTAGGAGAGGAGATTAGAACAGCTTGGCTTGTTTAGCCTAGAAAAACAAAGGCTAAGAGGGGATATGATTACTCTTCATAAATACACTCRGGGAGGGAGAGGAGGGGAATGATCCAAGTTAGAGGATAATACTTGTAGAAGATCAAATAGGGGCATATTGGCCTGGAATAAATTTCCTTTGCAACGTTGAAGATGTTTTCCCATTGCTGTAGAGGAGAGGGGCTGGGGTGGCCTTCCGAGCAGGACGGCCAGGCAAGGAGACTCGGGAGCTTTAAGGGGATCCTGACCAAGACCACCGTCTGCTGGGACCCTCTGCCAGGAGAGGGGGAGTCTGCAGCTGGAAGCAGCACACGGAGACTGGCAAAGTTAAAGCAAGGGAAGGAAAACGGGACAACTCATTTATTTATTTGTTTYATTAAATCTGTGTTTCAAACCATTAAGCTCTGGAGCCTTTATTTTCCCCAAGAACATGAAAAACTTGATTTTTGATTTTTTTWAATTTAATAGTCTCTGCTAAACTACGGCAGACAGCCCATAACAAGAGACAGGAGGCAGGGCACGGGACAGGGCTCACTGGTGCTCCTGGCAGCACCAAGAAGTCATTTGCTGCTCTGTGTCCCCTATCACCTCTAGTGATGTTTTCTGATGCTTCCCATGGGACTGCAGCGTCTCCTGGATGCGCCTGCTCCTCTCCCTCGACCATCTAGGATTATAAAGCAATTTCCTCCTTTTAACTCAGACATCTCAGCTAAGTGAGATGGATCCAGGTCTTTACGGGTCCTTTTTTCCAAGTGGCAGCAGTTACACACGCTGCAATACAGTGGAAATCAAGACATATGCTAGTCCTCTTAGCCCAGCAATTGCTCACAGTGCTCTGATGAAGTGAGGCAGGGCAAAGCTCGGGAGATGCCAAAGCCTGCAGCGATGCCTGCTCTGCGGATGACACCTGGTGGTAAATAGCCGATAAATAAACGCTATAAACGCTGCGAGTTGCTCGTGGCGCAGGCACCGCTTCCTCCTCCTCCTCAGCTGGCTTTGGACGCACTCAAAAGCTGGCAGGGCTCTTGGATCTGTGGACAATGTGGATTCAGGAGTTAATCACCCACCGACTGCTGACTGCGACTCATGGATCACTGAGCCCCAAGTGAGCTGAGGAGGAGGAAGGGAAGATCATTTTAAAGTGCGGGGAAGGAGTATTACAAAGACTCAGCTATTACAGGCTCATGAAGTCATAAGAAAACCCCCCATCCATTCCGTGTTTTTTTCCAAATCTGGGTGCTTTGGCAATAATAGTAGCCAACCAAAGTGCTTTGGACGGGCACAGACTTGCGTGATGTCTGCTACCTGTCTGACTTGGCCCATCACAGGCTTTGTCCTTCAGGGACGCGTATGAACCGGGAGGGCAGAAAACTTGGCTTCTCCTGGCATTTTTCTGCAGTTCTGCTCTAGGCACCGCATCTCGTGTCCTGGCAGTGAAAGGCTGGAAGGAATCGTTAACAAACAGGGAGGGCTCTGGGGGGATTTGGGAATCCCAGTCCCTCCGTTGGTGCCTCCCTCTCTTCTTGTGGCTGTGGGTTCAGCCAACAGGGATCTCACGACAACAGGATTCTTTTAAATCCAGATTTTAACAAATTTCACACAAAATAAGTAACTCAACAAGCAACTGTTCTTCACGCAGCTCATTGGGAACAGAAGCAGTCACGGTTGGGAATCTCTTGACTCCTCCGTGTGTGGAGTTTGTCCATTCTGCATTTGAAGACCCATTTGCTCGATCGCTTTCCTTATCAACAAGGACGAGGCCCGTGGCATTCCTTATGAACAAGGATAAGGCCCGTGCCATTCCTTATCAACAAGGACGAGGCCCGTGCCATTCCTTATCAACAAGGATGAGGCCCGTGCCATTCCTTATCAACAAGGATGAGGCCCGTGCCATTCCTTATGAACAAGGATAAGGCCCGTGCCATTCCTTATCAACAAGGACGAGGCCCGTGCCATTCCTTATGAACAAGGATGAGGCCCGTGCCATTCCTTATCAACAAGGATGAGGCCCGTGCCGCCCACCCGGCCTGTTCTGGTCGCATCAAGGAGGAGCTTCAGCTCTCGCCCTCCACAGACATCCCGCTCTCCGAGCAGCTGTTTTCCGTGAAGGAAAGTGCAGATATCCACAGTATTACCCTGTTTGCACAGGCTGCTGCTATCGCGTTGGTGACGGGAGCCGAAATAATCACCTTAAAGAATAAATATCTCGCATGCTGATTCACTTTCTCCTAGCGGAGCCTCCTTTACCAGGGTTATTTCTTTCTCTTTCACTACATGCTCGTTGTGTCTGGGAGGATGGATATTTTTTTTCCCCAAAAAAGTGATTTCCAGGCATCCTAAATCATCAAGTTGCTGGGTTTTTCCTCATTTTGTAGCTACGCAGCATAAGAGAGGATGGATCTGAGGCCCGTGCAGGCGATGCTGCTGCATGTGCAGCCTCGGCGGGCGCACAGGCCACACAACTGAAACTGTGCGGGCCACTTTGGGGTGAAAAGGGTCATTTTTTCCTCCTAAAAGGGCGGGAGGAACCTTCTTCCAAGCCATGACCTGTCTGCCCCTGCCAGGGTGGGAGGGAGGAGAAGGGCAGGACAGACTGTGTCCTGGGGCCGGTATCTGGCCCTGATTTGTCACCAAGGGCAGCGCGAGGCCACAGGGTGACATGGAAGGACGAACCCCCCCAACACCCCCATTGCTCCCCACAGCGTGGGGCGCCCCCCCCGCCTTCCCGCCATGGTACAGCCCGTGTCGCGCCCCCCCCTCCCCGCTCTCAATGGTCCATCCCCGGGCAGCGCCTCCCCCCTGTGGGCCGCAATGGTCCGCGCCAGGCGCAGYCCCCCCCCGGGGCTGCTGCGGTGGTGCGCGCCGCGCGTGCGCACAGCGAGGGCGCTCAGCTGGGCTGTAAACACAGCGGCGGGGCGGGCTGGGGGRAACCGGACCGGACCGGACCGGAGCGGAGCGGGGGCGGGGAGGAGGGGCACGGCGGGCCGGAACGGGCGGGACCGGCCGCGCGCGCTCAGGTACGGCCGCGGGGAGAGCGCGTGGGCTGAGCCGGGCTCGCCTCCGAGCTCGGCTCCGAGCAGGCCGCCCCCTCCCCGCTTTACCTCAGCGCCCCACGCGTGTCCGCGGCGCCGCCGTGGGCGCGGGAAGCGCTGGGAGGCCCTTCAGGCCCCCGCGCCGACCCCCCGCGTTGTGTCCGCGGGGCCGCTGCTCGTGCCGCGGCCCCCACGCGCGTTCCCCGCGGCACGCGTGGAGCTGCGGAGCCCACGCGTGGCCCCAGGGCTCTCCCACCCCCCCGCGCTGCCCTCGGCGGCCCCGCTTTGAAGGGGCTTCCTTAAACTGCATCCCGCTCGTCCCCTCCGGCGGGAGAGGAGCGAAGATGTGAGAAAAGGGCCAAAACGGCCAAATTCTCAAAAATCTGCCCCTGAAACACCCAACTTTTGGGAAGTGGGCCCGTGGGAAGAGGCGTTTCCGAAGGAACCGGCACCTGTTGCTGCTTGGTTGTTGCTGGGTCTCGGTGCAAAACACCTGYGGGATACGCAGGAACCGCCGCGGGCCGGTTGTGCCGGTGGAATGTGGGTGTGTTGGGAAGCGTGGGGAAGCTTGTGGGGATCCCAAGTGGAGCATTGACCAAGCCACAGATGCTGTTCAGGCTTTACGTGTAAAAAGTGGAGTTTTCCATCTCAAAAAAGAGCCTTAGTAGGGGAAAGAGAGAAGGAAGTATAAGATCTCCTAAGGAAAGTTAAGAAAATTTGACTGTTTCAGTGCTGAATAATACATAATGTGCAGCTGACCAGGCCTATAGGCACCCTGCAGCTGTGCAGCTATAGCAGGTTGCATGTTAGAAGCGGGAAAAAATGAGGAATAAAACTGGCTCATGAGCCCACCGAAGTCTTAAATTTGTTTTTCCACTGTGAAGTAAGAGTAAAGCACAACAGTTTGGGGTAATGGAAATTAGAAAGTAGCTATAGAAAGGAGAAGGATGATGTTTTTGGAAGTGCTGTTAACAGTCTAGAACTGGATTGATGTGTTTGAGATGTGAATGTATTTTAAAAAAAATACCAAACAAAAGCTAGTTTCCTGAATACACCCTGTTTTGTGTGGCTTTTTGGGTGATGGGGACTGTATGCTATTTGAATAACTGTGAAACTTCCACTGGCTCCTGCATTTGGGTTTTTTTTTTTTTTTTTTTTTTTTYTTCTTCTCAGTTTCCTTTGAAACTGCAAGTTGTATAATTTGTTCTTGCTGACTGGAACAGCCTTCCGCCTCTGATAATTCAGCTGCGGGCGGATCTTCTGATCCTCATAAAGAACACTAAAGCTGCTGCCTCTGCGGTTATTGTCAGCAGAGGAAGGCTCTGTAAATAAATGCGTTTTAAAATACCCTCGTGTTTCTGCAGTGGAGCTTTGGAGGAGATGTGGGAAACCTGTGTTCTTCTCTATATATACTTTAATCTTTAAAAGTTACAGCTGCTTTGCTGTGTCTGATGCATAGTGGAGTGTGCAGTTAAGGAAGGTGCGTGTTTTTCTGTTCCTCGCAAAAGGATGTCTGAATTTGCTACTAGAGATCATTGGTGAAATTAGCAGTGCTTGAATTATTAAAAAAAAAAAAAAAAAAAAAAGTTATTGAAATTATTCCAAATTGGGGATTAGCTCATTAGGACTTAGGACCTCAGAAATTCCATTTGCTTCAGTAGAATTTTTCTCTTCAGTTGCTGTTTGTGCTGTTGTATGCTTTAGTGATGATGATGCTTGAAATTTGAAAGAAAAGAGCTGCATAGAAACATATTTAGTAAAGAAAGTAAGTTTGTACCTGCGTGTATGTCTAGATCAGATTTTTTTTTTTTTTCTTGATTTGATATCCTGATGACTCTTTGTTGAACAAGCAACTTGAAATCTTTTTTTGGTTCTTGTGATGTGACTTTTCAGTCTCCCAGCTTTTCCATGACACCGTTAGATAAAAAGTCTACATGTAGCCAGAATCTCATGGGCAAACCACGCTTCTGTTACTGCTGGGACTTGCAATAAAAAATGATTTGTAAGCACAGGAGCTAGAATAATCCTTTATATAAAAGGCTTCAGTGAAACAGCTGACGTGCTGGTAGTGTGTGAAGGGGGCACTGCACATCTGAACTGTGTATTATGACTTTCCCTGCATGGATGCTAGTATCAAGTGCTAGATACCAGATCTGCTGTATTTTAGTTTTAACTGTTTGACCGGGGGTGAAATGCAGGAGGGTGGCAGTGTTTTTTTCCTATTTGCTGTCCTTTAAGTCCTCAGAGAAACTGTATCCTTCAAATTACTTTATATGTAGTGTTCAAAGTGTGTCCTGTGCCTCACCTTCCTTTATTTCTCTTTAGTAACCGAACTTGCAGAAAACTATTGAAGATGGGAGGCGCAGTGAGCGCGGGAGAAGATAACGATGAGTTAATTGATAACCTGAAGGAAGCTCAATACATCCGCACGGAGCTGGTGGAACAGGCCTTCCGAGCCATTGATCGAGCTGACTACTACCTGGAAGAGTTCAAAGACAACGCCTACAAAGACTTGGCCTGGAAACATGGGAACATTCATCTCTCGGCACCGTGCATCTATTCGGAGGTGATGGAAGCTCTGGATCTGCAACCCGGGCTGTCGTTCTTGAATCTCGGCAGCGGCACCGGTTATCTCAGTTCCATGGTTGGGCTCATCTTGGGTAAATATCTTTTTTGGTYGTGTCAGCTGTTTATACCAAATTAAAGACTCTTGAACGTGGAACGGAAGCTTTCCTCATGTAATGAACCTAAAAAGTTGCTGAAAAACTAAAGAATGCGTTAATCAGATTGACTAATTACTTGGGGTTCTTGCAGCCGAGCCAGCTGGGGCCCACATTTCTGTGGCAAGTTAGAGTAGGCAGCAATGCTGCTGCACGTGGAGCTGCAGTGGATTCCTGCAGGACTGGGCACAAACTTGGCTTTGTTTCTCCCTTAGCAGGATCCCAGCTCAAGATTGCATGAGAGCTGCATTGTTTAATGTAGGATTGAGTGAGTTCTGTTGTGATTATAGATGTTCTGCACCTGCTTTGCTTTTACACTMTTCTGTCTAGATAGAAATGTGTTCCAATTCTAGATCACGTGCTGTTCTTTTCCTGGTTATAAATCTGGTCTAGATAATGAACGGAGTTTCAAACTGTTCCTCCCAAAGAGTTTTAGTTCTGGTCGCTGGGGTAGATGATGAATGGCTGTAGGGTACCTATTACCCTCATGTGTGGGGGTCAGGAATTTTAGTTACTGAAATGCTTGTTGCCAGAATAGATTTTACTCCCACCTCCAGTGACTTTTCATGAAATAGTGTTTTATGAATTTTCACCTAGTTGAAACTGCTTAGAAAGTCACTATGTTCCTTCAGAGCTCTTGAATTCTTTTCCTGGAAAAGCTATCAAGTCAATTTTGAATAAAAAACATTGGTGACTGATTCTGACTTTTTTTTCCTGAATTTTTTTTTAGCGTTTTTTATTCAGAAAAGATGTATTTTTTTAAATTGTTATTTTTTTTTTTAGGAATTTATTTGAAGTAGGCTATGTCTCATGTTTTATCCAAGCTTTTTCCTGTGTGTTCATTTTCACAGCAGTTGCATTTCTTTAGTATGAACATTCCTTACTGTAGAGGAATTTCCTGCATAAGTAAGAGAAAAAGATTCAAAATAGTGCTGTACAAAAAGCCTTCTTTAATTCTAGACACGGCAGGTGTAAACTTGCACTTCACGTTGTAAAATATCTGGCCCTAGGCAAGTCCTGATTACCTGACACGCAAGGAGCAATTAATCCCTTATAAGAAGTAAGCAAAACTGTGTCTAGTTCTGCTGGATTTTATCTGGTTGCCTTCTAGGCATTATCCCGATGTTCTCCTACATTTACAGGTCCATTTGGTGTTAATCATGGCGTGGAGCTTCATTCTGACGTGATCGAATACGCAAAGCAGAAACTGGACTTCTTCATCAAAACGAGCGACAGCTTTGACAAGTAAGACTGCAGAGCACCCGTTAGCCTGCGTTTTGTGAGCGTGGTTTTAGCTGTGGCAGTTCTTGCTCCCACATGGCAGCTCTGGATTCCAGGGTAATCTGAGGATTCCGGCTCCTTAGGCTTGCTGAGCTGAAGTGTGTGACCTTCTAAGCTGATGGGAATTGCGGAGGAGGGTGTTCCAGGCATTTTTGTAGTGTTTTAGTAGCAGTTCAAGTGTTGCATAGCTTAAATAAGTTTTTCAGCTGCTTCTAGCATCTAATGGCAGGTAGCACCTTGAAGTCTGCAAAGAGTAATAGCTCTGTTCTTGATCTGAGAGCATGATTGGAATATAAATATAAATAGACATATAAACAGATTTCTGTCAAGGCCTAATATGTTCTGTTTGGAACTTTTTTTCTTGCTCCAGACAAGTAGTGTTAGAGGAAAAAGTCAGCTGAACTAGAATATTTGCTAGACAAATGGAGGGAAGAAAATGAGTGAGGCTACCGCCCTAGTGCATGAGGAATGGATTTCCATAGCATTAATTGGGGGGTTTGTATAGATAGCATGTTTCAAGACACAAATGTTCCATTGAAATTCTGTTTTAATTGGTTATTGATCTTGTCTTAATTATACGCGTCATTTAAGCTGATACATTTCTGTAAAAGCCTGTGACTTCTGCAGTAATTACACAGGTAAATTGGCCAATACCTTATTTTTTTCATAAAATAACTTTGGATTGCCTTCAGCAAGAAGGAAATATGTTAAAAACAAACTAGAGTTGATCAATCTGAGTTTCAAGAATCAATAAGACTGAAAAATTTGCATTGCTGACAGAAATAGCTGCTGGGTAATGTCGTTAGAACACGGTGTGGAGGAATTGTTAGCTGAGTTCTACAAATGTTTAACATGCTTTTCAAAAGCAAAAAGATACAGGAAATTTTTATGAATAAGTATGTGCTATGTTGAGTTGTCTCTTCAGATAACAGTAAAGGAATGGATATGTTGTACAGTTTTATCAACAACCTTTATCCTTTAAATGTGGGCTTAGTGTTTTTGCAGATTAAAACTATTTTGCTTCTAAACTGAATCAGAAAAGTTACAGTCAGAAATTCTGTCTATGAAGAGTGAAATCATGGTTCTTTTAAAGCTAATGGCAAAACTCCCATGGGCTTCAGCAAAGCCAGCACATTTCTGAAACATCAGCCTCTAGCTCCCCAGAACATCTGAAAGCCATTTAAAAGCGTATTAAAATGGCAAAAAAAAAAAAAAAAAACCACACTGGTGCACTTCTCAGAAGACTTTTACAGTTGGAATTGCAGGTTTGATATTTTTATGTGGATATTATATAACTGAGCCTGCACCAGGTAACTAAAAATGGTTGGTGCTGAGCCAACCTCAGGTACAAAGTTTTGCCTGTGTACCCTGGAAATTCTCATCTGTGAATTCTCATTTCAGTATTGTTGTGGTTTTAAGACTTGCAGCTGTGGTTTTGTGTGATGATTTGTAGAATACTTGGGCTTGGGAGAGGAAATTTTGTGAAATATTTTGAAGTATTTTTCACTACTTCTTCCAGATCCATTAAGCTAATTCATTTGATAAATGATTATTATTTGTGTATGGTATTTCTTAATGTCTTTGTTTTTTTTTCAGATTTGAGTTTTGTGAGCCATCTTTTGTTACTGGCAATTGTTTGGAGATTTCTCCAGACTGTACTCAGTACGACCGTGTTTACTGTGGTGCAGGAGTCCAGAAGGAGCACGAAGACTACATGAAGAATCTGCTGAAAGTTGGGGGAATTCTTGTCATGCCTCTGGAGGAGAAGGTGAGGTGCCCTTCTACCCACTGGGCCCACATTTGCAAATGTCAGTAGATTGCTTTTTAATAAAGAGTGGAAAACTGCTCTGTTTGAGGACCCAGGCTGCTGATTCAGGTTGTCTTTTTGGTGAAGAGGGGTATTGTTTTAATGGAGTGAACGCCTAGGTATGATAAATATATAACCTTTTTGCTTTAAGTTGGGTAATTCAGATTTCCCTTCCAAGTAAAATGTTGTGAAATTAATTGGTGTAAGAAATTTGAGCTGTGCAGAAATCCAGTGGATCTTTATTATCCACAAATCCAGTGGATCTTTATTATCCGCAGACCTTTTTTTCAAGAGCAAATGTTAATCAGTAACTGTCATATTCTCTCAGTAACTGAGATACTCTCTCAGTGGTCAAACATAGCTGTTCTGGTTCAGAAGTGGTGAAGAACTGGGAGAGCAACGTGACCCAAACTGCCTTTGCTCATACTGAAGTTACAGGGGGCTGATCCCTTCAGGAGTTCAGAATTTTGTTAAGGGAACAATGATTCTCTTTATTTCACCTAGCTCTTTACTGGTTGTAATTTCTASTACTTTAACCATTTATGTGGGTGGAAGTGGGAACTTGTTAGTTCATTTTCTGTTTAAAAATCTTGACCTAGTTCACACAATGGAAAATGTTCTGCCTGTTTTGGTTTAGTTGACTAAGATAACACGCACTGGTCCCTCTGCCTGGGAAACCAAGAAGATTCTTGCTGTTTCTTTTGCTCCTTTGATTCAACCTAACCATGCAGATTCAGGAAAATCGAGGCTTGTTCACTTGCGTGAGTACAAACATCTTTAAATGTGGGGGTTGTTTCTTTTGTTGTGTGGTTGCTACCTGTGCACTGCCTTCTTAGACATACCATCACTGTGGATACTTTTCTTGTCAAAATTACTCCAGCTATTCCCCTCRTTGAACAGTTGTCCTATTAGTCTCCTGTTTGATCTATTTTTGAGTGTGTTTGAGGAGACCTGGTGCAAAAGCAGAATCGTGTAAGCGTGTTTTGTTGTGAAATTTTACCTAAGCCTTGTGGGATATTTGATCACATTCTTGGTACACACAGGCATCTGTTTTGGCCCTGAATCTCATACGTTGTGGTTCTTGGGCACCGTGCCATGCTGAGAACATCCTACTGGTTGGAAATGCACAGATTGTACCTGGGGACAGACATTGCACCTACCCAAGGGCCTTCACTACCCAGCTGTCTAGAAGTTTCTTGAACCTGAGGCACTTTTAGGAMATAGGTTATGCAGTTTTTGGTTAGCTGCTTCAAGTGCAGGTTGTACCCAGTGGCCTCAATCTTTAGATTAAGATTTCAGTGTAGAGGGGCCTCTTAAGAACACATGAAGACATAGATGCTTCCATAAAGAGATTAGTTGGGCTTTGTTCCTATTCTGGAAAGGTGTCTGTGCATGACAAAGAGCAGCTCAGCAGTCTGTACAGTGCTATGAAGTCCRTTAAGTGCACATCAAGCATATTTTTAATGATGAGGCCTGCAGGTATCACATGTTGCCTCTAACACTTCCTGTCTTCAGATCAGAAGACTAATTAGTCCTCAGTAGAAGAAACTTCTTTGTTTCTGTTTTAATTCCTCCTAGTGTATGGATGTGTGTGCATCCATATGTCTTTGCTGCATGAGATGTGTTATGTTGCACATTTGTGTACTGGCAGAGTGCAGAAGATACAAAGGGCTTGCAAGACTGTTCTGTGGGAGGTGTTTTTTAATACAATTTATTGTATGCTTCTAATTACTTTTACCAAATGGTTTCCAGCTGGTCTTGACCCACTAAGTGGGTAGTGATTTTTGAAGAGCATAATTGTTCCTCATGTTTTATAAATGGAGAACTTGGCAAAGCTAAATTATTTTCCTGATAGGAAAGTCTTTGTATGGATGAGCTGAATGGACTTCAGGTCCACTTTTCTGTAGTGGGAAAATATCCTCCATCTATGCTATTAAACAGTCAATTTCRGTGACTTATAGTCTTTAAGACACGTGTATCTTAAAATAATCATGGAGACTTGGCATCAAAATATGAAACTCTTCTTTCATCTCATTCCTTTTCTTTGGTTAGTGGGAGAAATGTATAATTAAATTTTGTTTGGGAAGTTACAATGCTGTTTATCGAAGCTGACAGGAATTGAATAGAGCTGTTTTTGTAATCACAGCGAGGAATTCGAGTGGCCTGATTTAACTTGAGTGAGTTTAACTTCTGTGAGTTCTCCTGGGGGCTTCTTTTTGCTCAATATCTGTTCTTGGTTTTCGTTCTGTTYTAGCCCCAGTGGCCGTTCGCAGCCTCCAGGATCTGGCCCGCATCGCCATCAGAGGAACCATCAAAAAAATAATCCATCAAGAAACAATGAGCAAAAATGGAAATGGGTTGAAGAACCCCCCAAGGTTTAAACGAAGACGTGTGCGTCGCCGTCGCATGGAAACTATTGTTTTCTTGGACAAAGAGGTCTTCGCTARTCGCATCTCCAACCCATCGGATGATAACAACAACTGTGAAGAGTTTGAGGACGAGAGGCGAGAAGAGGAAGAAACGAAACCCCCCGAACTAAAGCCAGATCCCCCTGTAAACTTTCTGAGGGAAAAGGTCTTAAGTCTGCCTTTGCCTGATCCCTTGAAATATTACCTGCTTTATTACAGAGAAAAGTAATTTCCTTCTCCTAGAAAGTGGGAAGTAGAAACTAAAGTACTACTTAGGGCTTGACAAATGCGTACCACTTGCTTGCCTGCTAATATGACCACACGAGGCAGTAGGCTGGCTGGGGAATGTGGCTGCTGTATACTTAAACATGATAGCTTTTTTAAGTTTCTTCTTTCTTCTCAGTTGTGTGCTCTAGTTTTATCCTACAGCAGGGCTTCCTTAGGAAGCAAGTTGGTGAAATGCTCGGCTGCTTACAGAAAGGAGGATTGAATTCTCTGGATCTAACTGCATGGAGATGTTTGGAAATCTCCTGGCTGCTCCACCACATGGCGGTTTTAAAATATTCTTAAGCAGCTTCCCAAAGACCCTTGTCCATGCTCACTCCCACTAACCCTGCCATGGGTTTATATTGGTGTGTGTTTAATGGAGGATGAAGATTTATTAGTTAAAAACTGACCCGGCAAATCTTGTTTCTTCCAGAAATCTGAAAAAGCACAACTTTTACAGACATGAAAGAGAAGGTTTTGGCGTTAACCCTTGAGGCATCCAGGTTTTGAATGCAGAAGGAAAGCATCAGCTCCCCTTTGGTTGGTCTCGGTTTTGCTTATAAAATATATATTTTTAGTAAAAGGTAGAAATGTCTTACAAAGCATTGGTTTTCTTCATGGGAAAATGTCTATTTTGGTGAGATGCAGTCTAAGATGAGATGTGGAGATTTTTTTTTAACGGACCTGGGCAATAAGACAAGGGCTGCAGAGGTGCTTAGCTGACTGACAGGATGCCAGGGTAGCTGGATTTGTGGCTCTCGTCTCTGGAAACGTTTACAGAATCAGTCTGAATGGAAAGGAGCGCAGACAAGCAGATGTGTAGCAGCAGGTTTGTGAAAACTGACTGTGAAAGCAAAACCTGCACATTATTTTCTGCTTCATGTGACAGTGTTACGTGTGTCGGGATGAACCGAGTGGAGTGCAGAGAGCCCGCTTGGACAGCGGGCAAGCAGCCAGACTTAGCTTTGTGCAGCGTATGGAGATTGCTAGTGCTCTGGAAAGCCAAACATAGTTGTACTGCTGATGCGCCTCTTGGGTGTTGCTCTCTGGGCCCTTGCTGAGCACAACTTGGCCTAAAAACCACAGCAACTKAGGGTAGAACTTGGCTGAACAGCCTACACACAGGAACAGCAGCGAGGGCTTGGTGCATCTTATGCCTGCACCTGTGAAGTGGATGCTCTGAAGTCTAATAGAAAGACTTTGCACGCTGCAGTTTAGTGAATGTGAACTCTAATCTTCATTCCCCAGTCTTCCTCTAATGGTGATGGGAAGAGATTTCATGTTTGGAGTGGCAAGTTTACTCAGTTCAACCAGTGTGTGTGGGGAAAAAACTAGCAGAGGCTGGAAAGAAATCCATGAACCTGTGTTATATAGAGTACCCCGAAGGTGGGAGAAGACAAAATCCTCGCAGTAGATAGTGCAGCAGGGTTAAGAAAGTATTGACCCATCAGAAGCACTTGTGTTGGTGGTATTATTATTATTATTATTATTTTTCCTAATGCTATTTTGATTTTGGAAGAGGAGCGAGTGAAGACTGTCCTGCCAAAAACAAGCTGCGTGTTTACTTAATGGTACGGAGGTGCACAGCTTGCATTAATGAGAAATAGGGTTTTAATGATAATAGTTTTTTTAAAGTCCTGGCACAGCTTTAGAACTAAACAGACAACTCCTGTACATCTAAGCCTGAGGTGGAGAATTCTTCCTTGCGGGGTCRGCTTTTTGTGTGTCTTTGGGAACATTATCAGATAATTCGGTGACATGTGGCTAGTATCCTGTGATAGGAAATAGTCATATGCCRTATCTTGCCTCTGTGTCTTAATTCTCCACCTCTGGCCTAAATGAAGCCCCAAACTATCCTCCTGCCTTAGATTTCGGGGGCCTGTGTTTTAAATGGGACAGGATTGTGGTCCCTGAGCTGATGATTTTCTGTAAATTCACAAGTAACCACTTTATAACTTTGGCAACTACAGTGAATTTGTTATACAGGTGAAAATCCTGAATATGGTGGTAAATGGAAGCCTAATAGAATCTGTATGTAATACTTCCTTGTGCTTCCCTTACAGGGTGTTATTTCTAGAATTACTAGGCATTTCTGCTGAATAACTCCTTTTAGTAACGTGCCTTTCGATGCTATGGCACAATTTCCATGCCCCCGCATAGCGCAGGGTGCCTCCTACGTGAGCCTGTCGGGTCATCCTTTAGTTTATTGATTGCAAAAGTTTTTATGGATATCATTAAAGAAGTTACTTTAAAAAATACTATAAAAGCTGAGGTTTCTGTGAATGAACCTCTCTGAGATTCTGTTAACACTGACTTAGTTAAGGGAGAGTGACTCTCGTTTAACCCTCTTCAATTCTTCCTTCTCCCCATAATTATAAAATATATTTTATCAGATTTTTTCACCAGATCTGCCTTTTTTATTACATTTACTAGATTTTTGTAGCACTCTATAAAATGCATAAAATACTGCTATTTTTCCCRGATAAGGTTGAATAAATATATATACAGAAAATTTATGTTCTAGGTTGTCAGATTGTCCCCKTGTCCAAAACAAACAAAAGAGATTGGAACAAACCCGTAGTTGACGTTTTAYGTGTAATATAATTGTGAAATAGTGTTGCTTAGAGCCTGTAAATGAAGGGGAACTGTAAATACAATTTCCCTGTGCACAAGCATTTGCACTGTAGTTTTGTATGYGTTTTTAGTAGAGTAATTGTAGCACAACTGTTTATGTGTAGACTGTCTGTAAGCTCTCTAGGAGTTTTACCTACTTTTCCTGTTTCCTTTTGTATTCTAAACGGTYTTCGTTTTAATTCTGTGTCTCCATTCTGGGTTTCCGTAATGCAGTAAATGTGCAAAAAGAAACAAACTTCAAACTGCTTTAATCATCAGTGTGCAAGCTGACAAATCTGTGTATAGAAGTTCTAGTGAAATTGGCTTGAGGCATGCAAAAATGTTATGCAATTTAAAAACTTTATTTAATATTTCTGTATCAATAAATTCAGTAAAGACTTTTTAGCCTTCTTAACATGGCTTTGCATCATGTTGTGATTAGAATACTTTAAGTACTATTTTTWCATTATTGAGGGTTAAAATACTAGAAAAAGCATTTAATAATATGATGCAGGTGCATAGTGGTAGGTGCATTCCCCAGAATATAATCCCTTAAGAACAAAACCAAAACCCACCAAGGTGCTTAGTTAATGATTGCCAAACCTTTATGTAATGGAACTGTGCAAGGTGTGTCCTGGAATTAGCGCACACAGCACTCACCTGGGTTTAATGCTTCAGAAACGTAGGATGTCAGACAGTAATGACATCTAGAAGCCCCTTTGTCCCTTTCTCTTGGAGGCCGGATCGCCGAAGGTGGCAGGGGTTTGTTGAATCGGTTCTCAATTACCACTCTCGCTGCAGCGCTCCTCATGTCTCCAGTGGTCTATTACAGTGTTTAATTAATGCACATTTTAAGAACTGGTATTCGGTGCTTCCACTTCTCTGCTGAAAATAATTTCATTTTGACTTCAGCTGTAATAGAAACGTAATCATAATAATAAATAGAGCTATTGGTAATTAAGTACCTTTTAACGTATCTGTTAACTGTCCTATAGATGAAAGGTTATCTGTGGACTATATTTTTTCCTGTCATTTACCTGTATGATAGGTGTCCTTTTACCAACTATTAAATAAGACTAATATAATATTTGTGCTTTCTGTCTTCATACAGTGCTTGATAGAGAAAAAAAAATCTCTTCTGCTTTAGAAAGCTGTGAATATGCAACACCAATGCTATCAAGTAAACAAAATGTGCAAGACAGGTGATGTTTAGTTCCTTTCTAAGSTTTTTATTGCTGAAGCTTTTATAATATACATAGCTTAAATGTAATCCACCTCTGTTTAACTTAAAGCCAGGATGAGTGAGCTGAAAAAGGGTTGAAGGAAACAGTAACTCCAAGGTTTGGGAATTGTTTTTCCACTAAGAAAAGTTGTTGAGAAAAATGTAGAATGTCACAGGTCTGGCCTGGGGGTAATGGTGAGCTCTTCAGGGGATGTACTCTCTGAAATATTCTTTTGGGGCAGAAGTGCTCCTTAAAATAAAACAAATGAGGGTAAAAGGAGGAGAAAACCTTCGTAATCTACCAGGGACCAAAAGCCCTCTGGAAGAGGCCGGGAATGTTTAAGTCTGGAATGAAGCATTAACTTTCATTCCTGTCACTTAACAGCTACCTTCTGGCTTTTGTTTAGAACTGCACACTTATTTTTAAGCAATTCATCACGGTGACGGAAAATAAGATAAATTAATGCAGGTGAAAAGGAACGGTGATCGCTTGTGCTTCGTAACATGTCACAAACATCCCATTTGTCAAGTAGAGGAGATAARCAAGGTGGAAAAGATGCATTTCAACTAAATGCTGTAAGTAAATACATAGATTGCAGAACTTGGAGGGGCAGGTACACAAATTATTCCCTGAGACGTGGCTGCCATTACATTTGCTGACTTTGCTAATGATGCAAATCCCAGAAGATAATAAGTAGATATCCATCAATCCTGCTGGAATCCACCACTGACTGCACCACCAGGCCCTAAATCGAGGTTCCAGAGAAAGTGTAAGTAGAAACATGATGGATTTATCTATTTTTAACAAAATATTCCCCTTTGGAGAGAATGCTTTTTGCTGCTGGCTGTATTGGAGCTCAGGTTTTTGCAGCACTGTACGATGGGGACACAGCAAAGGAGCCTTGGTTCTGAAAGGTGCCTGCTAAATGTGCCATGGAGAGCACTGACAGAGTTCCAAAATGCAAAGCAAGGTTTGAAGAGCTTTTGCGTTATTTTCATAGTAGTTTTGTCCCGTATAGAAGTTCTTTGGGGAAATTGTGCTCCTCTGTATTTCTGGAGTTCAGTGCCGTTTGGAAGGGGTTGATATGGGGAATGATCAGACTGGAAAAATCCGTAAAATCAAAGTATGTGTGACTTAAGTCAAAATCTTCATTGTCTCTTTATATTTTTTATGCACATACATCCTAGCTTTGCGCTCTGATTCCTATCTGGAGCAATCTGCTCCGAGCTACTCCTCTTATATATAAATACTAAAGCAGATGCTTCAGCCTTGTGCAATTGGCAGGCAGGAGGTGGGACGGTGGCCACTAGAGGACACTGTCCCCACGACCAAGAGTTGGGTCTGCACGAGGAGGATGGAGCTGCTCCAGCAAACCTGCCTTGGCACCGCTTGGAAAGCTGGGCAAAGGGACAAAAGATTGCTCGAGGGTAAGACATGGAGAGCCTGTTCTGTAACGTGACTTTTTTCTGGCTAGAAAAACAGTATTTTACTATCTGTGATGCAACCACTGCTCAAGAACTTGTAAGTGATTGGGTTGAAGACACCAGCTACTGCATAATGGTCCTTTGCCCAATGTCTTAGTGTCTCCAAACCCAAAAYACCTGGCAGAAATCTGGGTGCGGATGAGAGAGATAAATCTTCATATATTGTGGGATCTATTATCTAAACCTTGATTCATAAGGTTACTAAAACTGGAACATTGGTAAAAGCAGCTGCTTAACAGGCAAAAAAAGTCCCACCCTTCTCTTCCCAATACTTGAATAAAAATTTTGAGGGGAAAGAGAACAAGAGAAGCAAGAAAATACAGGATGAAAGATAAATTCCTTAGGTATTTGTAGGAATGTAGCAGTCAAAGCAACCTGCTCTTGAGAAGATATGACTAGAACTATATTCTAATATCTCTGTGTTTTGGAGTTTTAAATGTTACTCTGACTGATTACTGTTTTGTCACATTAATTTTGTCTTACAGTTTGCAGCGTARATCAGTTGCAGATACAGAGGAAACTGTGGGCTGATTTTCCAGGTAGTGTGGAACGATGCCTGGTTTGGAATTCCAGAAGTAGCCTTATATCGTAACGAGCCCTAATGCTTTATACTTGTGTTAAAACCACACACTTACGGTCTTGTCTAGGGATCACTAAAAGCTTTGGGACAAGTTACTTCGCTATAAGTTTCTTTATTATGATAAAAGGTAATYAGTTTAATTGGGAACATGGCTTCCCTTTTGCTTCTCAATTTTCTGTTGCCCAGTGGAGGACAGATCTTGAGATCCCCATTTTCTACATGAATTACTGTATTGAAAATTCAAGCTGTTTTTTAAGTAAGACATCCTTGTAGAAAACAATAAATGGCATTAGGTAAAAAGTACTTAAAAAGAATTAGCTTCTAATGTGCTTACATTCTGTCAATGGCAAACATCGGATTTTGCGGAATTTACCTGCAGGTTGTTTACCTCTGCTTAGCTGCCTCCCTTTTAAAGTCACTTACCTGTAGCACTCAGGTCTCCCTGTATGATTGGAAGCTTATTTTGCCATGTGTTCTACATCCATGTGATAAGAGGCATTCTCTGTTCTAAACATCTCAGTATCTCATGCATTTGACAGAGGCTGTTTGATGAGATGCCATCCTTAGGGTACAAGGAGCAYGCTAGGGTCAAAATCTTGGCTTTCCCCAAATCACACCCAAATTTTGACACCTTTGAGTCCTAACACAGTGCTGGGAACACAGGTACCTTCCACAGGCCTTCAGATAAATGCGCTCGAGGAGAAGGTGAGGAGTTAATTCACTGTTCAGCATAAGAAATGAGGCAAGAATAAGTTAAAATTAAACCCTTAAACCCCACAAGTGAAGGGGGTAGGGAAGAGTGTGATCCTCACTGATGTACATAGTGGCAGAGAGGGTGGGCGGTTGGACTGTCAAACTGCCTTAATTTAATTGCAAACACATGCTGATGAGTCCCCTCCTCCTCCTGGACCTCAGGGCTGGGAAACTTCTTTTTTTTCATGTGTGTGTGCGAGCTCCCTGCAGTTCAGAATTGGGGAAAATTCACTCCAGCGAACACCATGCTGACCAACCCTCCCGCTCTCCTCGGCTTTCTGTGGTTTCTCCTCCTGCCTAATTCCTGCTGCTCCTGCCCTAGCCGCTGCCTGTGCTTCAGGACCACAGTAAGATGCATGCATCTGATGCTGGAGACCATCCCCGACGTCCCACCCCAGACAAACATACTGTGAGTAACCTTTCCCTTTTATTCTCTTTCCTACCTGGTGGGACTTTAGGAAAAGGAAGGAAAAATGCAAAGCAAAAGGCGTGCTTTTAACTCTTTTATTTTTTTTTCCCTGCAAATTTTCTGTGTTGCAGATTTGTTTCGTGTTTTTAGAGCATAAAATTGAAGCTGCTGCTTTTGGCATCAGTGAATAGTTAGCAGAGCAATCGAGGAAATAACAAAAAAAAAAAAAAAAAGGAATAATGCCAGTGCAATCACTAGAAGACTGCTTTGGAGAGTCAAAGGTCATACATGTTAAATTGTGCTTGTAGAGAAGGACACAGTTTTATTTGAAAGCTTTGAATGTGGATATGTATGAGAGGGAGGAAATTAAGTGCTTCAAGCTTTTGTCTCTACAAAGAAAAAACACTTTGTAATAAATATAACCCCATTCCTTTCCTAGGGCAAAGGTTCTGAACTATCTAAGCCAAACTTAAAGCATTATTTGGAATGCAAAAGTTGTGGCAACTTGCAGATTTTGTTTTTTTTAAGGCCGACTCTGCCTTTTGGAGAGCAAACTGCTGTCTGAGTCCCTCGAATAGAAAAGGTGCAAGAAAAGGACATTCAAAATGTGGAGACCCCTGAGTAGTTTTTATTAGCGGACATAGAAGAGCACTTTCCTGGGGCTCTGCAGCAATCAGTTCTAAACTTAGCAGTGGCTTTAAGATGCAGTGACGTGTTACAGAATTCTTCTCTCTGTGTTACTTTTATCTGATCCCTCCATTTGGAAGACCCTTTTTTTTTTTTTTTTTTTTGTTTTTTTGTAAACAAGAGGAAAGAATTGTCAAATATTTATCATCCTGTGC